ACCCAGGCCCTCAACTTTGCCTTCAAGGATAAGTACAAGCAGATCTTTCTGGGTGGCGTGGACAAGCGAACCCAGTTCTGGCGGTACTTCGCCGGTAATCTGGCGTCCGGGGGTGCCGCCGGCGCTACCTCCCTGTGCTTCGTCTACCCCCTTGACTTTGCTCGAACCCGCCTGGCAGCAGATGTGGGTAAAGCTGGGGCTGACCGGGAGTTCAGTGGGCTCGGTGACTGCCTGGTCAAAATCTTCCGCTCGGATGGCCTCAGGGGCCTGTACCAGGGCTTCAGCGTCTCTGTCCAGGGCATCATCATCTACAGAGCCGCCTACTTTGGCATCTACGACACCGCGAAGGGTAGGTTGACCGAAACGGCACTAAAAGGTCGATGCTAGGCTGTGGCAGGGCTGTAGGGCGTTATGGCAGATGCCGGTGGCTCATCTGCCGTTCTCATCAAAACCTCTCTCCCGCAGGCATGCTTCCGGACCCGAAGAACACCCACATCGTTGTCAGCTGGATGATCGCTCAGACTGTCACCGCTGTCGCCGGTTTGACCTCCTACCCTTTTGATACCGTTCGTCGTCGCATGATGATGCAGTCTGGCCGTAAAGCAAGTAAGTTTCTACCTCCTTGGGTAGGAAGTATCGGGCATCCCTGAGTCAACAGTTGGTGGTGGAGCTGAGGCGAAGGCGGAGTGGCTTGGCTTTCACCAAGCCGTGTAGATATCATCACCTCTTGTAAACAGCGAGGTGTGAGAGGGGCTGCAGAAGCAGATGTCAGGTGGGGGGCACAGATGGGTCAGTCTCTGCAGCACACCCATAAGGTGGCATGTACAAGTCAGATATCTGTCAGTAGGTAGCAACAGCAGAACTTGCCCAAGGATGTTGCAAACCAGTGTCTCTGGGACAAGAGAAGACATCCCTGCTAGCAGGCCTGGCCTCGCTGACTGTACAATAGCTTTTGGGTCTGGCAGTGTTGATGTTAAAGCAAACAGTAGCTGCCTTCTGCTCGACCGGTCCTTCCAGTGTCTCCTAGGGGTAATGCAGCAGCGTATCTCCTGGGCGATCTTGTCCTCCGATGCGCTAATACTGGAGAAAGTCAGTCAAGAAATGGGATGCACTTGAGGTTATGAAGCTGGCAGATACATTAGGCCATTTCTGACCTGGATGTTGGGGGTTTGGGGCATCCAATTCCTAATGCTGTCTGTCTCCTGCAGCTGACATAATGTACACCGGCACTATTGACTGCTGGCGGAAGATTGCCCGAGACGAGGGCTCTAAGGCGTTTTTCAAAGGTGCATGGTCGAATGTACTCCGAGGAATGGGTGGTGCTTTTGTCTTAGTCCTGTATGACGAAATCAAGAAGTACACATAAGTTGTTTCCTGTTGTGAACTGGCATGTTGTTCTGTGTAGTCTATGACAATTCATGGACTTGTTTGAAATCCATCTAGTTACTAAACAGTGATGGCTGATGTTTATACAGGTTGGCATGGGGCAGGGATGACTGCCTGCCCTGTCTTTATCAAGTTATTCCCCTTGACGGGACTCACCGTGGTTTCTATTTCAGTCACTCCTGCTTAAAGAGTACAAAGAAATAAAAATCTGAAACCAACTTTCCTCATCTCATGTTTGTTCTTGCAGCGGCTACAGCATGAGGGGGTGGGGGCCTCTGCAGTGAGTGTAGAGAAGGAGGAAGACAAAACCACCTCCACTCCTGCACGCCTTGCTACCTGCTAACTACCTGTGGCCTCCAGCAGGTAAACGTCGTGCAGGTCGCCGAGGAAGCCGTGTAGTGTTTCCTTCCCCGTGGAGGCTAGTGGTGCGGGCTGGAATGGGGACTGGCACCTCTGAAGGACTCGCCCAGCCGATCTCCCCTGAGACCCTGGTAACCAGAGATGATGCGCTGGCTGTGTGCCACCAGTCCTGCCTCTGGCCCGTCTGCTCCCCGGAGCTGATGAAACCTTGTTTTGAAAGTGCCAAGTGCCTAAACCCTCTGCAAAGCACAGCCCTCCCCAGGGTGCTAAATGCCTGGGAGGCTGGAGAAATGTTTAAGGGGTATTTGCTGCTGTCTGGCGTCGTGTTCTCGGGCTTAGAAACTGAGTTACCTGCTCAGGCGTGTTAAAACCCAGCCAGAGAACATAAGTGCAGGTAATTGCTGTTTTTCTGTAGAGCCGCTGGCTAGGCTTGCCCTCGCGTGAGCTGATGTGGTGTGGGGATGTAGTAGCTGAGCAGAGACAGACAGCTCCTGTGCCAGGGCTGCGCTTGCCAGGCAGGGAGCTGCATCCCCTGGCTCATCTCTTACCCCTGGAAGTTAAGCTTGTCCCAGCCCCAAATTCTAGGGGAAGGGGGAAATTCCTTCATGCTCCTGGAGCAATTTGGAGCAAACACTGCAAGACTGGGCAGTGTGTGTGGCTTGGCCTTTACCCAGACATCTCCATGGTTCTGAGGTGCCCTACTGAAGCTGCCTGGTTTCTGCCTGGGGAGCTGGGGTGGTGAGTGGATGCTCTCCTGGTCTTCTGCCCTTCAGATCAGTGAAGTCTTTCCTCACTGCCCCCATGCCTTTGGTCCTTTCTGGCTGCCCAGGCCTGCTTGAAGTGATTGATCTCAATCACTGAAACCAATCTCAACCACTGTCCGAGGCAGCTAAACAAGCCCTTGTGTTGCAAAGAGCAGTAGTTGGTTTTTATTGCTGAAAACTAAGCGAAGCAGCTGAGTGTGAGAACGCGGCACCGTCCCGCCGCAGACACCTATGAACGGGTGTGGATGTTCGTGATGGGAGATGGTCTCACGCCACGCTGGTGAGCCACGAGCCTTTGCTGGTGCTTTTCAACTGCCCCTGGGCTCCTGCGGTGTGAGATGCCCCGCTGCCTGCCGTGGAAACAAAATGGGCTGAAAGTTTCCCTGTGAGACGCAGAGCAATGCCACAAGCAGTGGGCAGGGTGCTGGGGGGGAGCTGGCAGGGGGCTGCACCACTGGGCAGCCTTACTGGGGAGCGCTCTCCTGCTGCACAAATGCAAGCTAATTAATTAAGGGCTCTCAGCTCTTATTGCCTCCTGCTGCTAAGCTCTCCTGGATTTCAAGGGCTGTTCTGAAATGCTGCTGGTGCTGAGCATGGGCATCCTTTCCCCTCCTTTTTTCCACAGGGGATGGGTGGCTAGGCCATTAGCATCGGAAGGTAAGTGCATCCGTGGGTGCAAAGCAAGGGAACCACCGCTGCTTGCTCCCTTGAAGGCGGCTTTCTGCCCTGTGCAGCCATGCTGGGTGGGAACATCTTCCTTGTGCCATGTGCAGGGTTACAGGGACAAGACAGCAAGGCTGGGTAGCTCCGCAGGGCTCCCCAAAACACCCTGCATCCCTGCCCTGGGAGACAGCCCTTACTGGGATTCCAGGGCCTGGCTCTCTGAGCTATTAACCTGCCCAGAACTCAGACAGATAAATGCCAATAAAGCTGTATACCAGCTTCTGAACAAGCCTTAGTGTTACCCAGCACCCTGGAGCCTCCGTGATGGCTGTGTTTGGGGAGGACCCCATGTTGCTCCCCAGGTACAGCTGCAATTAACACTGACAAGGTCGGATTTGTCATTACCGCTTCTCTTCAGTGTTTACAAACTGGGTTTGTTGTTTTGGGGTTTTGTTTTTTTTTTAAATCAGTTATGAGGAACAAGGCAGCATTGCTACACACGGAGCTATTTTGACATGGTAAATCAGAATAGGTTCTTGAAAAGGCGCTTGGAAACCAGACTGGCCTAAGCCATGAAACGCGCTAAGGTAAGTCTGGCCGTATGTGGCATTATTTTTGGAACAGATCCCTTCCTCCACTTTTATTTCACGTGCTACTTTGCTTTGCAATACCTCTGCACTGGGACAAGTTCTTATGTACAATATAGTGCTCAGTTAAAGAAACAAACAAATCTATCACCTACCTATATTTACAGGTTTATAAAAAACTAATGTTGGCTTTTATGGTAACACAAAAATCTGACTTTTCTGTGGTCTGAACGCTGCTGCAGATTACCCAGTTGCTACCACGGTGTGGGAAACTCTGCAGAACGGCTAGTTTTATCTATTCTAATAGGACATTTAATCAAGCATTTGAACTAAGTGCACCTGCTTCCTGTTGCTGCAGTCAGCTTTTAATTCATTTAGATCTAGAAATGATAAACCCAACTGGATTAAAATTGTTGTGAACTAGAACTAGTTAGGGTAAGAAATACATACTTAATAATGTATTGGATATTAATAATGTAGTTAATAATGTATTGGATCAACTCTGTGTCAGAGTTGTTTCCGCCACTGACCACATAACTAAAGTGTATTAAAAGTATCTCAGGGACTGCTAGCATGACAAACTACACACTCCTCTTTCTGACTGGGTCTGTGAGCGAGTCCTGAACCGAACTAGGCAGATTTCTGACTACAAGAATGAAAAACACTGACTGAACATGGGCTGGTCTTCTAAAAACCAGAAGGGAGGAGCGCTTGTGCTGTGCTGCCTCAAGGCTGGAGGTGTGCGGCGGAGGGAGCTGACGGCAGTCGGTAACTGCTGCTTCGGACAACTTGTGCTGAGCTGTGCACACACCAGATCTTCTTTGTGCCTCACCAAACTGCAAAGATGGTCCTGGCCCCATCTGGCAGCCCCTCGCTATCCCCGAGTCAGCTTTTGTTCTGGGTGTCACTTGAAGCAGGACCTTACTTCATCCTTTATGACAACTGACGACTAAGGAGTCCGCACCTCAGCAGACCTCGCATGGTTCAAAACCTATTTTCAAAGTCTTTGAGTCCTGCTTGGAAAAAACTTCCTGATTTTTATAGAGACCAACCCCAAGCAGTTACTCGGGGCTTAGGTTGCTCCCAGGGGAACCCCGAGGCCCTCGCCTGGCTGCACTGTGCTACCACACTTGGAAAAGGGCTTGGTGTAACCGAGTTGTACACACTCGCTCCCCCTGCCCTTCCCAAGTATTACACACCGCCTTGTAATTGCTTAACTGCAGAGCCTCTGGATATAGGCTTCTGGAAATAGGCCTCAGATTAGGAGCTGATCAGCAGCGAACGAGATCAGAACCACTTGAGTTAACCTGGACACGTGCTGACCCAGCCTGGCCTTAATTTGTCACACAACCGACAGAAGCATCCCAGCCTGACAGAGTTCACTCCCTCCCTTATACCTTATTTTCCCAAAGAAAGGAAGGATACTTCCTTAGGCTAAGCAGACCCGAGTTTTCCCAGTCAGGGTTATAAAGCCAGATGGAGAAGTCTTTATTACAGGAAGTCTTCCATAGTAATTGCGGGAGATGAAGCACCTTCATTGCTCACGTTGTTTTACGATACTAGGTAGAGCACGAAGACCCTAGGAAAGTATTTCAGTTCAAATCCGTAACATGGTATTTAATCCCAAGTAGAGCAACAAAGACATGGGCTATACAGCACTGTCACGACATCTCACAAGAAACACAAAATATTATTTCCCAAACAAGGTACTTTACACACCCATTCCTAATGTCTTTATCAAAATCATGAGCGGCCAGTGCATTCAAAACAATTTTTCCTTCACCTTCATGTTTCACAACTCCAAATACTGACACTGTTTTGCAAAACAGGTTAGTTCAGACGTGCAGTTGCATTCTACTTTAAATGATTACCAATCGTATCAGCACCTTCCAACTATACATTTATACTCATTAGTGGTATAATAGGCAGGAAGTTTTTGTTTTCAGTAGTTTAAAACAGGGTTGGATTTCATGTTCTTGTATCACGCAGTTGGGACAGTGTAATTCTGTACAACTGCAGCTTTCTGATGTTCAATAGGAGCCGAGACTTGGAGCTGCAGCCAAGCATGTGCTGGCTACCTTTGACAGCCTGTCTGCTGGTCCAGCTGATCAGCAGCGTGATCGCTGAGCCTTGCATCTCAGTCGTTACAAACTGTTGGAACGGCATGTCTCTTAGGCTGCTGCATGTTTTGGACAAATTTAAAATAACAAAATGAACAACAGGCACAGAGCTCACTTTTGTAATGATTTCTTTGTCGTACAGTTGACCTATTGTTCTAATACATTTATGGAAATGTTATACATTTGAAAACTGCCAAAATAAAATGACAGGTATCTAAAGACACACTGAACTCAGGAAGGCACTCAGTGAAGATTTTCCCAAAAGTAAATATTCTGGCTGGAACAGCTTGCTTGTAACACTGGGTCTGTAGAGAACTGAAGTTTCAGCAAAGTCTCCAGTGATGTTGGAGTTATTAAAATCGGTACCAGATTATCACTGATGAGAGAGGTACTCATCCTCCAAGCTGGTGGCAGCATGTTGCCCTTGAACGTTGTCTGTTACTTCTGCTTTGTTGACAGATCTCCAATAGCTCCTGGTAGCTTTCTCCTGTCTCCAAATACCCAGCAGAGGTGCAGCGTTTCATTTGAACTGGTTATCAATCAGGGTTCCTTTCATCTTTGCTTTCTTGGCTTCCAACTCAGCCTGATTAAGAAAATTAAGACAAAATGAAATAATGTCTGAATACATTTTCCTTCAGTGCTTCAATGAGGTTTGGTCTTCTTGTCTGACCAATGCAAGCTTTTCACACCAGGAGCAAGAGTAGCTCAAGTTGTTTGCTGACTCCCTCCTCCCCGGGGGTACAAAATAAGGACCACCTTTAAAATCATAAAAAGCCCAAGACTAACTGCACTGGAGACAATTTCATACTTTCTATCCTCAAGTGGAAGCTGTACATTTCCCCCCCTCCCATCTACTACTCTCCTGTCACAGCAGGCAAGATCAGCTGGGATATTCTTGCCATTAATTCTTCAAGTGACGCTTCTGGCAGCAGCTGAGCTGGCACGTCCTCCACAAGGGCCTTGGCTTGCCCTGATGCCTCATGGCAAAGTCCTGCTCTGCCAAGCAGGCTTGAGAGCACAGCATTGGGGTGCTCTGGTTGGCAAAGCCATGGCCTTGTTTCCCCTTCCCTTGTTCCTTGCCCAACAGGTCATGGAAAGTCTCCCTGCAAAAGCTCTGCTGGCTGCTCTAGAGTTAGCTCTATAGGTAATTGCATACAATTTTAAGTTCGGGAGGACTAGAAGAACATCTCTGTAAAAGCTGTAAAGGAAAAGTCACCCTCACAAATCTACAAGATACCTATGACTGTACCAGGACCTCTCTATACTTGTAGTCCAATCTGCAAGATCACTTTTGTGTACAAAGCCAAGAGATCTCAGCAATTCGCATTCAGCACCGCAGAAAACACTCACCAACTCCTGCAGCCTTCTTTTGCTCATGCCTTTGCGTTCCAGCTGTTTCTCAATCACTTTTGCATTCTGTGCATAGGAGTCTGCAATCTCTCTCTGAAACACATACCAAGTCACTTTGCGACAGCAAACCCCAAAGTAACACCACCTCATCCAAATGGCGAGACCATCACTGGCTCTGATCAGTGTCTGAGACAGCTGCGCAGGTCAGATGTGACTGCCATTAAGGGCAGACAAAACTCACCGCTTCAATCTCCTCCTCCTCTTCATCAATTGTGGAGACTGTGACAGAACTGAACTTGCCCATGTCTTTGGTCCGTTTGGTCATCATCACCTGGGTGAGAAGCAGAGTATTTTGTTAAACCTTGGCAACAGTTGTGCCACTTCCCCCTCACTTCCCCCTCCAAAGCTTTAAGGCTTCTGATGCAAGTCATTAAGATTACCTGAACTCCATGGATGGCAAAGGAGAATTATCCCCAGTGATTTCTGGGTTTAGAGCTGTCATTATCAGAAGTAAACTCACTGATATACAATAGATGAGCCAGACTTTGAGAATCACTCTGCAGACTACCAACCTGACCTACTTACAAATGGAAACTTTCTGGTAACTGAGCCTAAACATTAGGTACAGCCTAGATTTCCAAGTTTATTTTGCTTTCCTTTAATGCTAGGACTCCAAGCTGCAGTGACCTCTGTAAAGGGAAACTTAAGGCAGACAGGGAGAAGACACCAAACTGAGTTATTGTTTAGAGGTCCTTTTCTTTCCTTTTTCTCCTCTCTGTCATTAAGCGATTTCACTCACCACACCTTTTTGAAAAGCAGAGTTAGCCTTTTTACTTCTCTAAAGCTGATTACCTTTTTGGGAGGTTCTTGTTTCTGAGTATATATGTTTGTTTTCCCAAAACCCTGGCCAAATTTGACCACAGCACCATCAACAATGAACGTCACGGGAGCATTTTTCTGTTGGTGTTGATAAAAGAGCAGCAGTCCACACCTGGAAACCAAAACACACGCAGCTGTGAGGAAACTCAGATTCTGGATTCCCAGGGTTGCCTCACCGATTCTAAAAGCCACCAAAGAGCCGCCACGGTCACTCACTTGCCACACTTCTTCCTGAACTGCCGCTCGATGCCTTCTGGTCTGGGGGAGAGAAGAACAGCCTGAGGGGAGCGCGCAGGCAGCACTGGTGCCTGGCTGATGGGCCACAGCCGGGTGAGGAGGCAAGGCCAGACCAGGGCAGCCCCTTCCCCG